GGCACAGAGAACGGTGCTCCTGTATGTAAGCAAAGCAAACAGGACAAGTGCTCGCTGGGATTATGCCTCTAGACCTACAACCTAGAAATAGGAGTGAATCTTACAGGCTAGAAAAAGGTGCTATAAAGGCAAAGAACGAAAAATTCCTGGAGCTGTGGAATAGAAGATGGCAAAGCAGCGATCGGGGCGGCTGGACTCGGCGCTGGATATCAGACCTGAGACCATGGCTACGGAGAGACCATGGGAGACTGACCTACTGCTTGGTGCAGTTTCTGAGTGGACATGGTACGTTTGCTGCCTACAGGCATCGCATCGGAAAAGCTGCCCCTCCCCACTGCGGAGCTTGTGGCGATGTAGAGGATGCCGGGCACGTACTATAGGAATGCGACCGACATGCGGCACTGAGAACTGAGACGGAAGCCATCACAGGACCTCTGACTGAGGGAAGCCTCATCACGGTTATGCTGCGTGATGAGCACTGCTGGAAGGCTGTTGACCAGCTGTGTGTCGACATCCTTATTGAAGTTAAGTTTACGAACTAGAGCGATTCAACGTCGACGGAGTGACGAGTAAAGGTAGGAGTGGATGCATCCGTATGCCTCACGGCGATTGACATCCACACCTAGCATAGGAGAGGGGTTTAGTGGGTATAATGCGGCTAGTATCGCATTGTCGCATCGAACCCCACACTTCGGCGGTAAATTGCTGCCCCTCTTCTCTAACAAAAAAAAGGGTGTAGAAGTTTCATTTTTATTTCGATTGCTTCCAAATAATTTTCAACTCTGTGGTTTGTTCATTATTCATGTTGGAGATTTATATTTAAATTAATGTTAATCGTTAAACAACCAATAGACTGTGTGAGTAGAGGAAGATGGCCGATTCTACGCCTGGAGGAGCAAGAGGAGCCGGAGTAGCAGACGCAAATCAGCTAAGAACATGTAAAATAGGTTAATAAACAAGAATAAACAGGTTTAAACAAGAAACAACAGCTTTTAACTGCTTTGAACCGCTTTTTAGCTTAAAACAACAGACCTGTTAATTTTTTGTTCAAACCCGTTTATTTTTGTTTTAAAGCTGTTGTTTCTTGTTTAAACCTGTTTATTCTTGTTTATTAGCCTATTTTACATGTTCTTAGCTGATTTGCGCCTGCTCCTCCAGGCGTAGAATCGGTCATCTCCCTCTACTTGTGTGGAATATGTATTTCTTTTTGCATAATCTATATAATGCATTTGTATATACAGGGTGAGTCTTAAATAAGTGCAAATATTTTCAGCGCTGGTAGATCTCGATAAAAGAAACATATTTTCTCTTTACCATTTTTCAGATAAGTCCAAAATAACCGAGTTATTTAAGTTTGAAAATTAAAAAAAAGATTTTTTTGAAAAAAAATTGAGAGCCACCGGATTTTTTTCGTATTTGCATCCCTTTTATTGCCTTAACCATAGAGTAAAGCCGTAACTATGGTAATATCAGAGATTAAGAGATTATACCCATAGATAAAAGAAAATAATCTTCTATTATTATACCGTGGGAAAATTTGTGGTGAACAGGCAGTTCTAAAAAGTTTTCGAAAAATATACAGGAAAATTTAAAAGAAAATGCACGATTTTCAACATCTCTTTTTTGCAAAAAAAACCTCATAGACATGTTCATGGGGTCGAAATATACCACCCCTGAAAATATTTGCACTTATTTAACACTCACCCTGTCTAATCAAAATTGTGACTCTAAATTTTACATAACGTTTTTTTTACATACTAAATACGAGATAGCGAAGTTAAATTGTTTTACAAAAACGGTAGATCTACACCTAAAGGGGGAGCTCTGGCAACAAAGCAGCTATCACTTTTCCACCCGCTGGCTTGTGAGTCACAGCCGTCTCACGGCCGTCATTCAAGGCCGTGTATATAATAGTTTTTTACGCCTAAAAATAATTGTTACGTGTAAAAAATAGCTTTTTTACGTGTAACAAATAGTTTTATACACGTAAAATAAAAAATTTATAAGCAATTAAAACATCAATATTTTGCACACAAACACACGTCGCGTCACTACATATTTCTAGGCCGTAAGCTATAAAATATAAAAATATTACTATTTTTCGTCTCGCTAGCTTGTGTGTCACGGCGTGGAATTATTTTTCCCGGCGCGCGTAAAGAAGTTTTATTTCAATTTTTTTTTGTCCAGGAATCGAAGATTTGGCATCACTGTGCGCCGAGTAAACTTGTAAAGTTTATTAATGGACTGCGGCCAGCGACAATGATCGGCAATCCCTGCAGACCGGATCGCCGGGCAACACTTTGATCCGCTGTCAATCTGGCGACTATTGTAATTTTAACCCTACCCCCACCACATCTGGGGGGTCCAGGAGGGTGAAATCGGTTAGCTGGTTATTGTTTTAGTACTAGGGTTGTGAAGGGGGAGAGAACAAAGGCATTGTATGGCTATTATTAGGGGTTTTTAAAAAGTAACTTTGTTGAAACATCAATTATGTTATGTTTTATATTGTTATCGTATCACTAGTAGCAAAATAAGCCTTCGGCATTTAACGTTTTATGTAAAACTAGCTAGGTATTTTTACACAAATGAAGAAGGAAATTAAAGATAAAGGATTATACTATATCCGTATTGTAGCACATTTTTAGCCCACGGCCACACAGAAAGCGTTTTAGCGTTTTGCGTTTTTTGCGTGTCAAGCGCTTTTTGCGATTTTACCGTTTGAAGCGTTTTTTTCGATTTGTGTCCATTAAAACACGCAAAAGACGAGGCAGGTCGATGTCACAAGATATCAATTAGTAACTTCCCAAGCTCGTAAATTCCCTGCCCGTTCAACAATCAATCCTGTGAGAAAGAGATAGGCGAGATCGGCGCGGTTAGCGTTGAAAAGACGAAGATAAAAGATGCTGGGATTGAATTGTGGACGGGCCGGGGCGCCCGAATATATTATATTCGGTGATAAATACAATCTACTGCTAGTGCCAGTGGCGTGTGTAAAAATAATAAATATTATTTGCCATTTATTTTACGAATTTTAGTTTATATGTTTATAATTTTTTATGTTGTAGTGTTGTGGTTACTTGTTATAATTATAATATAATATAATAAATAATTATAATTATATAATAGAATAGCAAATATTACTAGATGCTAACGCAATTTTAGGACATGATTTATGAAGCATTTTGGAGTGAAACTTCTTTACGCGCGCTGGGACTTACGAGCCGTGCGAGGGACGTACGAGTCCGTGACGTACGAGCTAGCGAGACGGCCCTGACACGAACTTGTTGTAACGAAACGTGTTAACGGCTTAGAAATACGTAGTGACGCGACGTGTATTTGTGAGCAGTCCACGTGTTTATCAAAAATATTGATATTTTAATACAAATTTTGTAAAAGTTAATCAAATTATTACGTGTAAAAAAACATTTGTTACACGTAAAAACTATTTTTATTATTTTACGCGAATAAAACTGTTATTCGTAAAAAACTATTTTTGACGCATATAAAACTATTTGTTACTGGTGGAAAACTATTTTTTATGCGTATAAAACTATTTGTTACGTGTAAAGATCTATTTGTTACACGTAAAAAACTATTTTGTTACGTGTCAAAAACTTAATGTTTCTGGTAAAAAACTTTTTTTACGCAAAAAAAAAAATTTACGCGTAAAAAAATCATTTGTTACACGTAAAAAACTAATTTTTACGCGGCAAAAACTTATTGTTTCTGGTAGAAAACCTTTTTTACGCAAAAAAAAATCTTTTTTTCGTGTAAAAAACTATTTGTTACGTGTAAAGATCTATTTGTTATACGTAAATAACTATTTTTTACGCGCAAAAACATATTGTTTCCGGTAAAAAAAACTTTTTTACTCAAAAAAAAATATTTTTTACGTGTAAAAAACTAAGACTACACTTACGTGTAAAAAATTAACTAACTTAATTTTTACGCGCCAAAAACTTATTGTTTCTGGTAAAAAACTTTTTTTACAGAAAAAAAAAATTACCTGTAAAAAACTATTTGTTACACGTAAAAAACTATTTGTTTCTGTTTTTTTACGCAGAAAAAAAAACACTTTTGGAAAATATTCCTTTAATTGATTATTCTTTCAACATTTCAAACTACATTTTTTTTAATAGAGTCTTCCTGAAAAACAGAGAGATTAGATGTTCTCTATAAAAATATTTTTAGGTAATATCCTAAAATAAAAAAAATGCATACTAAATTTATTTTTATTGAATTATTAAATATTACGTCCGCCTATGATGGGGTCTCATAGAAAACGCTAAAGACGCTACCGAAAACAAATTGATTTGTTTTTATTTGCGTCTTTTGCGAGACACGCCGAACGCTAGACGCTTTTGGTGGGGCCACTCCTATATAATCCTGTTATTTTGTTTTAGACGCAAAAGACGCTTCACGCTAAAAACGCAAAAAACGCTTTCTGTGTGGCCGTGCACTTAGACTTCTTTATTTTTAAAATTGTGATGGTCAAACATCAACAAAATATTCCTTATGTTTGGACTAAATTTTCTCGGAAATAAAGACATAATTTAAAATACCGTTACAATACGGAAAATACAGTGATATAATATAATTTATATGGTTTTGTAACAAATTGCTCGCTATTGTATGGCAAATACTGAAGCTCTGCAAACCTTAATCAAACCTTAATCAAAGCACGTGTGGTATAAAACTTTAATACATTAAAATTTTAAAGAGCCCGTTTTTCGTGACGGTGAGTGTATTTCTTTATTCAAAATAATTATAAAACTTAATATTAGAGTGTATTTTAAAATGTGAAGTAGTTATAGGATTTGTGTCGTGCTCTTCATGTTTTGTTTCTAAGAAACGCAACCGACAAATTATATTACTTAGACAATGAAAGAGAGGGGACAGGTAACACGGCAGCTGAAAGTGAGTCAAGTTGTCACCACGCGAAATTCTCCAATAGCGTAGCATCAGAAATTAGCTTGTACCTAGACGGTACAAAAGAGGTGGCTTTATCCTGACGAAAGTTCAAACTCTCGAAACTTTCGTGTAGTATCGGGGGCGGTCGTGCGGAGCCGATTGTAAACCGCCTAAGCTCCTCCTCCTTTCTTCGTTTAGGATATGTCTAGGCCGAAACAGAATAAAAACGTGTTCTTCTTTCAAATTTTTGGGCAAATAGACAAAAATTTGACGTTTATCCCTAGATCATATATATAGAAATACATTTTTAAGATATTTGTATATAAATTATATATGATCTAGAGATTTATCATGTGACGAGCAGATTTTATGCAAATATTTAAATTAATCTGTGAATTAATCTTTAATAGCATTATGTAATAGTTAATATCTTTTATGGGTAATTACCCTTTTATGTAAATATTTTTTAACAATGAATGATTTTGAATGTAACATTGATTTTTGATTTAGTGCTGGTTTGGCAGATTAAGATTTATGATGTTTTCATAATGTTTTCCGTCAAAAGAAATTTATATTTATGAATTAGTTTTCAGCGGAAGGCTTTAGTAAAAAATTCGAACCTTAGTAACCGTTTTCTTTTTGCCAAAAAGGTAGATATTTTTTTATGTTAGAAGTTATAACTTAATTGGGCATTGGGCATCAAAATAAACATGTGAATATCTTGACTTGGTGTTTGTTGTCTACTTTAAGTGGTACTGAATTTATTAAAATAAACGTTGTTTTCTACATTTCTGTTTTATTTCAATAACAAAATACTGGTCCTACACTAGTGTAATAACAAAGACATCTAAATTTTAGCCGAACACACGCTGACCATTTTATAATCTGATTTGGTCGATTTATGATAGAATTGCAGGAATTGTATCACCTTCAACGAAATCAGCTAAGAAGTATTTAAAATATTAAAACAAAACCTTAGAGGGAAAAAATAAAAGGCAAAACCGATTTTTAAAAGAATTTAATATAAGTATTCCAAAAAAAATATTTTAACGCCACATGATGTAACACAAAAAGTAGGTAAACATCAGTTATAAAAAAAACATTAGAAATTTATACAGTATCCTTTAAGCTAGGCTCACGTTTTTCTGCAGAAATAAGTATTTCAATTCAACACATTGACTATCACAATAACTACACTAACTATATCAACTGGTTAAGCTCCGCATTATGAATATTCTTCACCCGGTCCTATTTTCAAAGTGAAGTAATGTAATTTTGATCCTGATTTATAAACAATATTATTTGAATGAAACTTTTGCTTTTAATTTTCCTGCCATGCTGGTAATTGCTTTGGATTTGTATTAACATTTTCAGGGTTAGAGTTCAGTATAGTTTGATGTTGAATTCCTTTCTAACACAATCTCACAGCTTCAGGCTTCAGGTTTACATACTATTCATACGCTGTAGATTTTTGACCTAAAAGAATCACTAAATATAGAAAAACTATGGGGAAAAGTGTTTATCATAAGCCTTACTTTTTGTTTTGATAAGGATATGGCCTGCAACTTTAGGCTTCCATAATCACTGACAAAATCTTGCTTTAAAATATTTGAACACACGCCTCCTATTTCCTTTTAATTTCTGGAAATTTGTAACAATTCATGGTGAACACTACTAATAATTTCCGTGTTTCTTATATCTTTGAAAACTCCACTGGGCAGTCTGGGCTAGCATTTAAAATAAATATCAAAACTAAGGGCTTCTATTTTCTATGTTATTCACGAGTTAAATTTTTGGTTTGTACCGATTCCGCATTTCTAGGCTTTCAGGTTCTGATTTTGCAAGATAACTTTACATTTTAAAGTATTTTAGTGTATATTTCCACCAAAAACAAATTGCGTTGACTTTTGTTTACAATTTAAAATACAAATAACGAGGGGAGGAGCCGAGATTCGATAACTTCTAATCGGGACCATTCGGTTTACCGTTCGCTTGCGTTCGGGTTTTCGATAACTTGGGCTTTCGAGAGTTTATGGTTCTCCCGTACAAAATATTTATTAAAACGTAAACTAATATATCGTTCATTTTTGAGTAATGCATATACAATTTTGTATTTTATAGTCTCACCTTTATAATATTAGAATATCTAAGTCGATAATGCAAAATTTATTTAACAGTCACAGTGGACTGATTATCATCATTGATTATTATCAAGACAATTATTTATTTATTAACGTGTGTATAATGTATAATTAAATAAAAAATAATGTAATAACATATATTTTAAACGTGTATATACATATATACTGTATGATCAAAAAAAAACGGCGTCTTGTTTGTTTGGAAATGACAATTTCACAAATAAATATTAAAAATTACATTATTCATTGAATATTGAATCCGTAAGCAAGTGTGAAGAGAATTGGCTAGATTCATTATTATACCGTTTAATCGAAAAAAAAAACGACGTCCAGTTGGCTTGTAAATTACGATCGATGACATTCCCCATATAATTCTACATATAAAATTACATAAAAACTATACAAAACGACATCGAAAAAAGACGGCGTCAGCGATGGCTATGAAATGAAGATCGCTGTCATTTTATATGTCAAATTATATGGGGAATGTCGTCGATCGTTATTTACAAGCCAACTGGACGTCGTTTTTTTTTTCGACCATACGGTATAATAATGAATCTAGCCATTACCCTTCCCACTTGCGTACGGATTCAATGAATAATGTAATTTTTAATATTTGTTACCTTCAATCAAAAGAATATCCTATTTTTAAGAATATCCGAATTTATTCACAAAAAAATAAAACAATTCTAGAAGCTTTGTGTTATTTTATTTATTTTTAAATTTTTATTAATTACTCACTGAAACTATTATTATACACTTAAATTAGCAAATTTTTTGAAAGAATATTTAAAAAATATATGTATGTAGTAACAAGTAGCCCACGACAAGTTTGTCCACCCCCAACAAATCTTGGCAGGTAAATTTAACTTTTATATAACTATACATATAGATTTTTTTTCACTAGAATTTTTCATTTTTTTATAGTTTACATGTATTTTACATCTTTGATAACAATACTTTATACATTTTTTTACATGTAAAATATATAAAAAAAATGTTTATTGCAGAAATTGTATTTCTCTGATTATAATCCCCTACGCCACTGGTGAAATCCCGTCTGAGTAGCAATATTTATAGTTTCAAACATTAATTATAATACAGAATATTGAAAATACTGCTTAGAATTATTAAAAATAGTTTGATTTGGATGTGGTACAAGACATATTAAAAGCATTTTACATATTTTTACTGCTATAATGAAAAAAATGTACATTTTATGACCACATAACAAAAGTTGTGTATCGATTTTTACCTATGAAATGTAATTCCAGCCACTTTTTTCTCGCTTCGGCCTTTGCAGCCATACTCTGAACATCTTTTTAGTCTAAGGAACATCTCACCATACTAAACAACACAGTTTATAAATCTAAAACAAAACAGTTGTCACAAAACAACATAAAAATTCGGTCGGTGTCACCTCGAAATCTTGTCACCAAAGTATGGCCGCCGATCGAATTTTGGCCTCACTATCCGATCACGGGAGAATATGCGTGTTACCCGTTCCCTCTCTTTCCTTGTCTAAGTTATATTACAATAAAAAAAAAAGATAATGCGTTTTAAAATGGCGGCGCCGTTTCTTGTTCGCTGCTGGCCGGAGATTTTAAAGAAGAAGAGCCAAGGCGTATGCCCGTCTCTCACTGTACAAAAATGGAAGCCCAGAAAGAGAGCAAACGTAATGATGCACCGGGTGTCTGTAATGTGGTTTCCCAATTGCGGACGCGCCCCCTAAACCCTATTTCCTTGGTCGCTAACTCAAAATTTTAATTAATTATTATTCCACGTGCGTTATTGTATATAAATTAAGGCAGGCGCCACGCCACTATTTCCTATTTCGCCTTGCTTGCCGCACTTGGAACCGATAGTTCCTTCACTATTTACCATAGAGTTGTTTAAAGTAGATCATTGAAAACTCACACTTCAATAATACCGTACATGCATGATGCAGTCAATAAAGTTTTGCTTGTTTAAAAATTCTAATAGCTATGTAATTCTAATTCTAATATAGTACACCAAGTTGCCTGTCAGCGCATAGCCTATAAGGCTATACAATGTAATCAAATATTGAGCCGATCGGCTCCATAAGAATGTATTGTTTTCAAAATATTCAAAATTAACAATTTCTACCTGATAAAAATACAATACATTTACAGTATTTTACTTATTTTCATATTTTATACCAAATAACATTAGTAAGTGAAATGATATATAAAAAAATCATCATAAAACCCTTTTACCTAATCTAAAAACATTTTTTTTCTATCTGAACAATATTTTCATTAAACTTTCTATTTAATATAACTAAAAAAATCCTCAATAACACACACATCTCTATTCTAACATCATAACCATCAAAACTACTTTCCTCGTCCCCAGTCGTTCGCGGCACACTTCAAATTAGCAACAATTTTGACAGTAGTGTACAATTTTCCCGGTTAGAAAGTCTTGCTTCATTTTTTTCCGATATTTTTGTATGTTTTTGCGGAAAAACTTATTCGGGAGTGATTTTTTTATCGTGGCAGTCTTCCTAGGAATCCAATGCATGTTCTAAAGTGGTAAGTCTTTGGAAACTTTGTTTATTTACAATATTTTCGTCATGTTCTAAATAAAATTATCTGCGTCGGCGGCAAAAGCCAGGAATTCCATGGCAGTCGCGATGAATTTTCTGAGTGCAGCCGAAACCATCACCGATCGAGACTGTCGATGCGGCTGGATTTTTTCAGGCACCAGCAAAAATTATCGACGACAATTTAATAATTCTAAAATACAGGGTGGCGACTCTCATACGCCGCGGAGGCTCCAAGGAAAACGATAGTTTGTATTCAAATAAAATTTTGTGGGCATATGTAGGTTAATTCAGAGCACTTTTTAAAAATATAGAGAGTTCTACAGGGTGTCCCCCAAAAAAGTTACATATCAAAGTTGTGTTTTTTGTAATGGAACACACTATATATTAATTGATTTTTGGATTCTGGGAGAAATATAAAGGTGAGTTTTATAAGAGAAGTATATAACTAAAATGTAAGGTTTCTGCCATATTTAACATTTTCTAAAAATAAAGAACAATTTTTAAATTACAATAAAAGCTACCTAAATTGGAATTTACCCGGTATAGCTTAATATGTAGTTAAATTAACTATTGTGCTTTAAATCAAATTAAAACTTGATCCAAAAAGTTATACAGGGTGAGACAAAATTAATGTTGAACATTGGTCACCTTTAAAAGCATGTTACTCTTTTATTTTAAATGGAACACCCAGTATATTATTCAGATATTCAATGGAGAATTCATGTCTCTTCAAAATACTATTAAGGTTGCCTATCCCTCAAACAAAGATTTTCCTAGATATTTTCATTTACATGATTTGATCTGAGTAGATCTTTATTATTTGATAAAATCTAGGTGGCTGTGATATGTCTGACGTTACTTCAATACAGCTTTCTAATTAGTTCAACTTTAACAACTAGTTATCATTTTGTGTTAGTTAAATCAAAAAAAGTTTCCAGAAATTTGCCGAAAATGCAAACTTATCCTACATCAGAGATAATTGATATGATTCTATTAGTTAGTGGGAATATTTAAATGCTCCTGATTTTATCTAGTCTGTTTTTTTTATGGGGATATGTTAAAGACAGTGTCACAAATT